TTTAAAATTTTCTTTAACGCGTCATTTACACACACATCATTGTCTCTAATGACTTTATGCTTTTGTTGTATTATTGTTTATGTCTTCCAATTACTGATACCCTCGATTTCTATAAGTATTTTACAGAAATGGCTTAGTTAATGTTAGGGGTATAATACCCCTATATCTTTTTCCCTGGTGATATTACAAGAATTTGTTATTAGCATTTCCATCTCTATATTACCACTCCATTCCATTTCACTACATACTTTTATGAAATTATACCATCTAGGTTAGGGGTAATTCACCCTTATATCTGTTTTCCTGGTGATACTACAACGTTTTGTTATTAGCATTTATGTCTCTTTATAATCCCTGTAATCCATTTCACTACATACTGTTATGAAATTTTATCTTTCATGTTAGGGGTACTTCACCCCCTATATCTTCGTTACTACCCTCCCTACACAAAAACTTCATAAGAACAAATAGGTCCCTTGTACTAGCTGTCTTCATTCTCATACTTTTTTTTGTTATTATTTAAAAAAAAATTGTCAAAACTGATTCAAACTGTGCGGACACCAACAAATTTTTGATTCGACATAGACCCTCACCCTCCCCCCTACTCCAGCGGCCAGCGCCCCCCCCCTCCCCCCCCTTCGATAGTGATTACCCCCCATTTGAGCTCAAAAATACCCTTATCTCAATTTCATCCCCCGGGGGTGAATTTTTCTTTATTTTTTTTCTCTCTTATTATTACTCCTAAAATTTTTCTGTTGACGCCTAAATTCATAAAAAAATTCAAACTTTTAGATATATCTATTACGTGTCTTATTCTATGAGTACTTACACCCCTACAATTTTTTTTTCCTTTTTTTGCTCTTTTTTGTAAACTTTTCTATTTAACATTTTCACTATTATAAAGATATTCTACTACGACATACTTTTAACGACTTAAACATCTCAACCCCTATACTTTATTTTTTACTACCTCTCTCATCCCCCGAGCTCACTACTCTTCTCTAATTATGTTTTTATATCTCTTCACGATACCAGTACTTGTTCCCATTAAATTTGATACCTCACTTGACTATATTCGTATACTTCCTTCTACTATCGGGGGCTGCTACCCCTTTACAAAAATCTTTAATATCTCCGTTGTTTGATTACCGATCAATTTCAAACTTTTACCAAACTGTGCTTTGATTTTTTTTACAATTTTTTTTTCACCCCTTTCTAGGGGTTGTCACCCCCAATTGCTTTAATTTACATTTATCACTATATTTTTTATTTTTTCACTGATTTTTGAAATTTTTCAAACTACCTGTCTTGTATTTGCATCCCTACACTCAGTATCTTCACTTACCTTATCACACCGCCTGTTTTTCCTTATGACTTCGACACCTTCCTTCTTCGGCAACTATATAGCTGCTTCGTTCCCAACGGACTGTTGTCACACTGACGTACACTGCTCGATGCTATTCTTCTTTCACAATACAAGCACTTTGCTAGGTGCTTACTATGTATGTGCATCTTATTAACATATCCATCATCGTAGATACTAAATAGGGCATACTTTGCTCCTATGATGCACCTTTCACATACTATGGAGCCCATCATGCTCGTACCAATGTAGTAATACTGCTGACAACGTTCTTCGCTCCATTCTACACCCCTCGCATAGCTTTCTTGACACACGCTCCATTCTACATATGCATTTCTCACACTTCCTTCATAACTCAATCCGTATGGATAGCGCACTCTATATCCATCTTGCAGTTCACTCCATTTAATTAGAAATCCATTCCCTCCTGACATCACCCCACTGGCTAGTCCTCCTCGTACTCCTACGTTTTCCAAATCTTATGGGGAGTCTAACAAAGACAAGATACACTTAGCGTCCTTCTCATTCGTATCGTAAATCCAGCCTATCTTATGGGGACGATGTTGCATACACGTCCCACAATAAACCAGAAATATGCTGCAACAGCACCACCCACACGCCCAGCGCCACCCCTTAGAGTACTTCAACCGTTTCTCCGTTTGACACACTAAGCACCGACTTTTCTTCACTATATTTACCATGCTATTGCAATGCTTGCAACAACTGAACTGCCTCCTCTCCGAGCGCTGCACTAATTTAAACACATATTTCCAAGGTCATACCTTCTACCACTCACGACTTCAAGGTCACATTTCAAGGTTATATTTCAAGGCCATATTTCGATTCAAGGTCACATTTCAAGGCTATATTTCAAGGTCGCATTTCAAGGCCATGTTTCAAGGTTACATTTCAAGGTCACATTTCGAGGTTAAATATGCGTTCAAGGTTGGCTCCCAAGGTCGACTCTCAAGGGCGTTCTAGAACATACAAACCCTACCTACTGTCACCCCTACTGTGGTGTATCGTGGCGAACGAACTCCTCGTTAGGCTCAGCAGTATGGGTGTCTACGCGCAAGCCTATGCTGATGACGTAAGCATAGTAGTTAGGGGGCGTTTTTGTAGAACAGTCTCGGAAATTATGCAGGGCGTTCTGCGCTCCGTGGAATCGTGGTGTTGGGAAGTCGATCTTTCTGTTAATGTTGAAAAGACCGAGCTGATCCTATTCACTAGGAGAAGAAGGCTTGACAGACTGGTCATGCCGACCTTCTTTGTGACTAGATTAGTTTTGTCCCAGTCAGTGAAATATCCTGGATTGCAAACTGAACTGGAGAGAGCATGTGGAATCCAAGGTTAGCAAGGCTCGCAATTCGATGGGGGCTTGTAGACGTGCTGTCGGGGTAAGGTGGGGGCTTAAACCCAAAGTGGTATACTGGCTCTACACGACGATAGTACGTCCATCTCTCTTGTACGGCTCCCTGGTCTGGTGGCCTTGCATTAAAACTGAGTCAACTAAGGCCAAACTCAATAAAATTCAGCGTTTGGCCTGTATTAGCATTACAAGCGCAGTGCGAACAACGCCTTGGAGTGCAATGGAAGCTCTGTTGGATCTCCCACCGTTGGATCTGATGATCCGCGGTGAAGCGAGAGTTGTCGCTCATCGACTGTGGAGTCAGGGCAGCTGGGCTTTCTTGAATCCTGTCAAGGGGCATACTGCCATCTTAGTCGAATTAGAAAGGGATGACCCCATCCTTCTAAGCAGGGGTGATCGTATTACCCCTAAATATCGCTTCAACCGCAAGTTTATTGTGGAGTATCCAACGAGGTAGGAGTGGGACGCCGGTAGCCGGGGACTCTCCGAAGTGAGCGGGCAGGTCTGGTACACGGACGGCTCGGTCACCGAAGAGGGCTCAGGTGCTCGGATCTCTGGGCCTAGAACTAGGCTATCTCTGCCTCTCGGTGGATACACTACCATTTTCCAGGCAGAAATCTTTGCGATTCTGGCTTGTGTACATCACATTCTGGAGGAGGGTGGGCCTAGGAGAAGAATAACAATGTTATCCGACAGCCAGGCTGCAATGAAAGCACTAAGTGCCTGTAAGATTACTTCGAGTCTTGTATTGCAATGCAGGGAGGCTGTGGATTGCCTCGCAGCGAGGCATCCGGTACGCTGGAATAAGGGACAATGAGACGGCGGACACTCTGGCGAAAACAGGATCAGCCAGCAAGCTCGTTGGTCCTGAGCCAGCTCTAGGAGTGATCGCTCATAGAGCTAGGAGGAAAATGAAGACGTGGGTTGCAAGACAACACTCTCAGAAATGGAGAAGTATCTCTAGACATCTCCGCCAGGCACGAGAGCTCACTGAAGGGCCCAGAGCTAAGGATGGACGCTTCTGCCTATCTCTGGATAGAGCCAACCTAAGGTTGCTGGTGGGACTGTTGTCTGGCCATAACACGTTAAGGTGCCACCTACACGTGATGGGGGTGGCTGAGGATTCCTTGTGCGAACGCTGCGGAGTAGAGGAAGAGACCTCGGCGCACGTTTTGTGTCGCTGTGAAGCTCTGAGCTACTATAGGCAGACTATACTGGGGTCCATTACTTTGGACCCTCAGGACGTCAAGGAGCTTGGACTCAAGGCGATTCTCAACTTCGCTAAAAGGGCGAGGCTTGTGATTTAAGGATTGTAGAGGTGCATAAGGGCCCGCTTAAGCGACCTATGCACTGGCTCCTTATGGTGGCCGGGATGCCTCTAATTTTAAGATTCATTCATTCATACAGTCCGTCCTTCTATAAGCCTGAATACCACAAAACATATACACTGAAGAAAGTTTAATTCCATGCTATTCAATGGCAACACGGTGACTTGTGTGGTTGTCAGCGGCCATTTTTTGATGGTGCGATACGGTTACCAGATTGTGCATTAATACCCCGCAACGTTGCCAGCTCTACAAATAAATCTGAGATTGCTATACTTTTATATATATATATATATTTTCTCTTTATATATATATATTATATATATAAATTTAGTGGGGTATGGGAGATCTTATAACAGCATGTGCTATTAACAGTTTGCGCTATCTTGACGAATAAGCGCTTTTTTGTATATTAAAATAGCAACGTCAATAACACAAGCTGTTATAAGATCACTCATATCTACTTACTAATCTGGAAAGGTTCAGAAGAAAAACATATACTGCAAATACCTAAATATATATTTATTATATAAATCTAATACATTTTTCTACAAACAAATCAGTATTAACATTATTATGATCCAGACGTTTTCATTCCCCAGCCTTTGTTGGCACCTGCATAAATCAAAAATTAGAAAATAATTGAACTGTGTTGATATTTTACTACAATTCAGATTTCTTTTTTTATGAGAACAATAATACTATTGTCCTTGGATACCGACAGGAATTTTTCTCAGGGGTGCTGATCATCATCAAGACATAACTTTTTGTGAAATTGTACCTGCTCTAATACACAAAACCATGCTAAATAATGCGTCGTGAAGGTAGCTCCAAACAATCCTACCCGCCGCTCGATTACAGCGGACCGAATAAATGCTGTCCGCCTGCGATACGCCGTGTAAGACCGTTTGTAACAACATTACGATAACTGATTATAATAGCTCTTGTTGTGTACTTTAAGCCCTGAAAAGCACTTCGACGCACATCTGCAGGTTTTTACGAAAAACATTTATTCCTAAATTGCAGGGAGTATCGCGCACCGTACCCCTCTGACTTCTTTCTTTGGAGCTGGGGTGTAAGACCGTTTGTAACAACATTACGATAACTGATTATAATAGCTCTTGTTGTGTACTTTAAACCCTGAAAAGCACATCGACGCACATCTGCAGGTTTTCACGAAAACATTTTTTTTCCTCAATTGCAGGGAGTATCGCGCACCGTAGCCGACTGACTTCTTTCTTTGGAGCTGGGGTGTAAGACCGTTTGTAACAACATTTTGATAACTGATTATAATAGCTCTTGTGTAATTTAAACCCTGAAAAGCACTTCGACGCACATCTGCAGGTTTTCACGAAAAAAAATTTTTCCTAAATTGCAGGGAGTATCGCGCACCGTGCCCGACAGACTTCTTTCTTTGGAGCTGGGGTGTAAGACCGTTTGTAACAACATTACGATAACTGATTATAATAGCTCTTGTTGTGTACTTTAAACCCTGAAAAGCACATCGACGCACATCTGCAGGTTTTCACTAAAAAAATGTTTTCCTAAATTGCAGGGAGTATCGCGCACCGTACCCGACACACTGCTTTCTTTGGAGCTGGGGTGTAAGACCGTTTGTAACAACATTACGATAACTGATTATAATAGCTCTTGTTGTGTACTTTAAACCCTGAAAAGCACATCGACGCACATCTGCAGGTTTTGGCAAAAAAAAGACACGACAGGTCTATTTGTTATGAATTGAGGTGTACGACTAGCTTTAGATACGAACCTACAAACTCTGCAGAACCGGTTAATGCAGTACCGCAATAGCATAAGACTCGTAGGCACAGATAGAATATACGAGTATAATTACCGCGCTCACCAAGTATGCGCGTCACGGGCTTCTGAGTAACGCTACGGCCACGGCGTATCGCAGGCAGACAGCATTTATTCGGTCCGCTGTAATCGAGTGGCGGGTAGGATTGTGGAGCCAGCTGTTGGAGCTACCTTCGCACACATTTGAAGGATGCCTGTATGGCCTCCTTGATTTTCATAGTATTTTCTCCTCTTCAAAAGGCTGGGGTGGTGAAGTTATGTTTTCTTCTTGAATCGTAGGAAATTTCAGGCTGATAAAATAGATATAAACCAAAAGAATGAACATTTTGGTGCGAATAGATATGTAACATAACCTCAAAATCGAGCGGTAAAACGGAACAGTAGAAATTTGTGAAAATCAAGGAGTCCATGAAGTCGTCCTACACTAATTGTTGGGACGACTGACGATAACGATACGGCCCTTAATTATAGGAAAAGTTTGAAGAATATACCTACCGTCCCCAAAAAACATTCTTCCGATATCGTACTGCTTATACGGTACTTGCTGCTTAATATAGTGGCCACCACACCCGTTTCTTCAGAATGGCTTTTGTCAACACACTTAAACTTTAGAATTTACAGGAGATACGTGCACATTTCGCAAAATGCAAGATTGATGCAGGGTGGAGACCGCGACGTAAGATACAACATGAGGTTCGTAATTGGGAGCGTGGGAATGGCTTTGATTGGATCGGATGTCTGTTCAAAAGCATGGTTGACTAATGCTGCTTGTTCAATGTCTCCAAATGTTATCGAGTTGAAGAAGCTTAATGTACTTTATACAGGGTGTCCCAGAAGTCGACGTCAAGCCGAAACCGGGTGATAGGCAAAGTCATAACAGCTATCAGAAAAATATTTAAAAAAATTTTATATATGTGTTTTGAAAATTATAGGTCTTTGAAAAAGATATAGAAATTTCACACCGTACGGCAGTCTGTCAACTCCTGTTACTACAAATATTAACTTTTTTGGATTTTATTTTTACAATGTAATGATGAATAATGCATCTTCAAACTGGTGTCTCAACCTTACTGCCAACTTTTCTCGTTCAGGAAAAATTGCCACTTATTTCCCAACCAAGTATTCCATCGTAAAACTTTGCTCAACTTTAACTGGCTGTACTGAAAAAAATGTACTACGAGAGTTTGGCAAGTAACCTTAAAAGTTGGCGCATTTAATAACGATTCCAAAATGGTATAACACTTAGAAGATTACTCGTTAACTTATGCACAATTTTTATTTGAAGAAAAACTGATGAAAATTTTTCAAAATTTCCTAATTAAACAGCGATTATGAAAACGCACAAGGACCGTTAAGGATAACTGTTTGCACAACAGTGGGCGTCAAAATGCTGCTGATGATGATTTACCTTTACAGCAAATGCTCAAACTGTTTTCCTTCAGCCGCAATACACGCTCGACATCTTCTAAAAAAAGATCGGGTTATTAAACGAGCGAATCCACGGTTATTAACAAACTCAGCTGCTTCCAATAGTCTTTGCCGTAGCTCAGCTACATTTTGAATCGGCTTGAAATACACTTTTTCTTTAACAGTTCCCCAGTAAAAAAATCTAAAGGATTCAAATCAGGTGATCGGGCTGGTCACGGTATTGTACCAGACCGCCTTATCCATCTGCCTGGAAAGTTTTGATCGAGATACTCTCTCACTGAGAGTGCATAGTGCGCTGGGCAGCCATCATGCTGAAACCACATGTCCCTGTAAGTATGGCACGTCCACCAATAAATTTTGTACATGATTTTTCAAAATATCCAAATAAACTTCAGCAGTCAAAGTATCTGGGAACTCAAACGGACCGATTATTTTACCATTTAAAATTCCTGTCCAATAGTTTATCTTGAAGCGATATTGAGATTTATCTTCTCTCATCAAATGTGGGTTTGCTACGTGCCACTCGTGTAAGTTATGCAGGTTCATGTACCCATCTTTCTTAAATGTGGTCTCATCTGACCATAAAATTTTTTCAAAGAACCGTGGATCTTCCCTGTGTCTTTCTAACATTGTGCGACAAAAAGCAACTCGGGGCTCATAATCCCGGGGCAGAAGAGCTTGAACACGCTGTACGTGGTATGGATGGAGCACGTTTTTTTTGCAAGATTCTATGGGCTGAACTTTTGGGCACACCTGTTTTTAGTTCTATTGCACGCACTGAAGTACTCGGGTCTTTTTCGACAGCTCCTAGCACTACGTCTTCGTAAGGAAGGAAAGATCTTCCCTCACCGTGTGATTGGTTTGGTAGTTGGCCCTCTGAGAACAGTAAGCGGTGCACATTTGTGAACACTCGCTGATCTGGATGACGAGCTGCATTCGGGTACCTCTCACAGTAAAGTCTCGCTGCAGCACTAGCGTTGCATCTGCATTCCCCATAAATGAGGTGCATGTTAGCATATTCTTGTACGGTGTACACGGACATAGCGGCACTGCACAATCACACTATCAAAGATAGTCTAAGGACAGCAAATGCTGTTTTGAAGAGCAATTAAACAGTCCAAATTAGTAACAGTACGAAATCAACAAGCACGAACATGTAAAGATGCGCAGTAAACGAAGGAGTACTGATCGGTATCAAAGTGTGCAATAGCAAGTAAGTGATGTGCTTCATCCATACCACATACAGCGTGTTCAACCTCTCCTGCCCCGGGATTATGAGCCCCGAGTTGCTTTTTGTCGCACAATGTTAGAAAGACACAGGAAAGATCCACAGTTCTTTGAAAAAATTTTATGGTCGGATGAGACCACATTTAAGAAAGATGGGTACACGAACCTGCATAACTTACACGAGTGGCACGTAGCAAACCCACATTTGATGGGAGAAGATAAATCTCAATATCGCTTCAAGATAAACCATTGGACAGGAATTTTAAATGGTATAATAATCGGTCCGTTTGAGTTCCGAGAGACTTTGACTGCTGAAGTTTATTTGAAAAATTGAATGAATGAATGAATTTTTGAAAAATCATGTACAAAATTTATTGGTGGACGTGCCACTGAGTATTTACAGGGACATGTGGTTTCAGCATGATGGCTGCCCAGCGCACTATGCACTCTCAGTGAGAGAGTATCTCGATCAAAACTTTCCAGGCAGATGGATAAGGCGGTCTGGTACAATACCGTGGCCAGCCCGATCACCTGATTTGAATCCTTTAGATTTTTTTACTGGGGAACTGTAAAAGAAAAAGTGTATTTCAAGCCTATTCAAAATGTAGCTGAGCTACGGCAAAGACTATTGGAAGCAGCTGAGTTTGTTAATAACCGTGGATTCGCTCGTTTAATAACCCGATCTTTTTTTAGAAGATGTCGAGCGTGTATTGCGGCTGAAGGAAAACAGTTTGAGCATTTGCTGTAAAGGTAAATCATCATCAGCAGCATTTTGACGCCCACTGTTGTGCAAACAGTTATCCTTAAGGGTCCTTGTGCGTTTTCATAATCGCTGTTTAATTAGGAAATTTTGAAAAATGTTCATCAGTTTTTTTTCAAATAAAAATTGTGCATAAGTTAACGAGTAATCTTCTAAGTGTTATACCATTTTGGAATCCTTATTAAATGCGCCAACTTTTAAGGTTACTTGCCAAACTCTCGTAGTACATTTTTTTCGAGTACAGCCAGTTAAAGTTGAGCAAAGTTTTACTTTGGAATACTTGGTTGGGAAATAAGTGGCAATTTTTCCTGAACGAGAAAAGTTGGCAGTAAGGTTGAGACACCAGTTTGAAGATGCATTATTCATCATTATATTGTAAAAATAAAATCCAAGAAAAGTTAATATTTGTAGTAACAGGAGTTGACAGACTGCCGTAGGGTGTGAAATTTCTATATCTTTTTCAAAGACCTATAATTTTCAAAACACATACATAAAATTTTTTTAAATATTTTTCTGATAGCTGTTATGACTTTGCCTATCACCCGGTTTCGGCTTGACGTCGACTTCTGGGACACCCTGTATAAAATTCAACAGGAAATGTACTAGACTCAATCAGAAAACAACTATTTATGAATTCTAGGAAATTGTTAATAGTATAGGTATGAAAAAAAGATAGATCAAAGGAAGACGGAACATCACACAAAGATCAGCTTCAGCCAAAAGCATTATATAGACGCAAAAAGATTGCATCATTACAAAAGTAATTATAACAAGAAAACAATCTTTAGCTTTCCAAATCTGAAATATAAGTATGTAAAAATATTGGGAGCTAATACCGGTGATTGTGATGAGAATTCTGCAATCTGGCAATGCAGCTATGACACTCTTCGCCATTGTCGCTTCCCCTTTCAAGGCACGATATTTAAAATTTATTGGTTATGAAATGAGGAAACATCTATATTATAATTTATTCTCAATCACACTTTCATATTTTATTATTTCAATAAGATAGTCGATGATTTTCATTTAATAATGACTAATACATATGTTTACACGCCATTATTATTTATAACAAAGCTCACAAAGCATTTTAGGTTCGATATGCGCTTTTATATTTTTGGGACCATGATGTATCTACAAATAAATTACACCACCCAAACACTTATCATTATCATTCGGACATTCTCTATTTGGAAGATTACAATTTAAAATTATGATACAATGCCGTCACATCCACGTCTTTTCCACGTGTATAAATAACCAACACAGTTACAGATGTATTTGCGGTCACTGTTTCACGTGGATAAAACGTCCCTCGTCGACCAGTGACGTGCTACACCACGTTTTATCGATTATATTATAAGAATACAGGAAAAAATTATAACAAACTAGTACATTTACGTTAATTAATCTGTTAAGTGACTGCAACATAACCGGATTTTATTCGCGGCAGTGGAAATTGGTATAGAGGTGTACACACGTCGTAATATTGAGGTTTTATCGATATGGTGTGGTTATATCGGACAAATTTAAGTGAAATTTGATCCATAATTGACGTCGAATAAACGTAGAATTTTTCCTAAATTTTAACTTCGACCAAAATCACCAAATATCTACGTCGATTCCACGACACCGTGCTGGCTGGGGGGGGGATAGTCCCCTCGAGTGGCCTCGCTTGTCATTCTATCCTGTGTGGAAACCAGCTGCGTTATGCAGTGCCAACTATAGAAGTATCTATTTCTTATAGATTTACACCTATGTTGAACTAACTACTCTCAAGTCACAACGGTAACATATTTGTGGAGGCGCCTGCCACGCCTTTTTTTATAAATAAGAGGAAAAGATTGTGTGATTCCTCTTTCCTTTTTTTTAATTAATTAATAAAATATGATAAATAAAATCAAATGTTGAGTCAATGCAAAAGACCTGTCAAGAGGCGTGCAAATTTAAGCCCAAGCTCAAGAAAGCGGAGAGTAGGGTGGTTAGGAGTGACTTAGGACAAGTTAAGCCATAAATCCCCAAGATGTTAGTCGCAACTTGTTTCGTTTGTCCATCCACATAAAAGAAAAGAATCTAACAGAGTAATGACGTGTCCTAATTAACAGTGCACAGAGAGCCAAGTAAAACAAGATTCCTATTAAAAAAAATTCAGAATACATTACCTCAACAAACAGCACAAATTATTGTTTCGCTACAGGAGTGCAAGTTGAAAAGAGAGGATATTCCAAAAAAAAAATCAACGTGCAATAAAATTATATTTGACCGTGATAAAACAAAAAAGACCCGCCAGACCTTGAAGAAGATATGTCGATAGAAAACCAAGTATCGGAGAAAAACCATAAATTTTTTTTTCAACACAAGGCATTTTTGACATTTTTATTAACTCACCTCATATCCACGTGACAATACTTTATGCGATATTCTTAAAACCTGAGCAAAAGCGAATTTTGTGCCATGTTTTCCACATCATACTAGTGTAAAATCACTCTGTTAAACGACGTGCCATGTTCAACTACGATACAGATGATTATTAGACAACACTGAGCATGGTAATCTAGTTACAACCAAGTCTATTCATCGAAGTTTTCAAGGCATACCTCAAACATTTATTATGCAAGTCTCGAAACTCGCTTTCATTTTGTTATAATTATAGGGAAACATTTTAAAAATGTTTTACAGAGGTTTTAGGGGTAATCGGGGGAATGATGGCCTACGGAGCGAATGAATCCGTAACTTCATAGAGGAGGCCCACCTGGAGGTTTACACTTGTTCTGAGAAGGATGAATCCCAGAAAATTGTTCGTGCAGTATTTAGACCATTTCCAGAAATATGTTAAAGCAAGCACGGAAGTTCCGGTTCTAGTCCTAATGGATAACCACTCAACTCATTCTACTCTACAAGCTTATCAGTTTTGTAAAGCCAAGGGTATTATACTTTAATCCATCCCTCCACACACTTCGCATAGGATTCAACCATTAGATATAAGTTTTTATGGCCCGCTAAAGTCAGTATTAAATTCAGAATTTGTACCATGACAAAGATGCAAATGGGACTGACATATGTTTAATGTGGGGTGAGTTCGGAAAAAATGGAAAGGTATGGCTAAGGTGTAATTCGTGTGGGAACTGGACTCATAAGGCTTGTACCGATACCGAAATTATATGTTTTCGATTATTGTGCTTGGGGTCATAATACCCGTAGGTCACAATTACCCCAACTAGTTGGGGTAAGTATAGCCACGTAGGGTATTTCATTTTTTGCTGTAAAATGAGAATTATATTTTTTCTGTACTTTTGAATAAAGATTAAAGTTCAAGATGCTCTCTTTCATTCACTTCCTTATTATGAAAGAAATTATTAAAATAATTACAAAAAAAACTTTAATTATAGCTTAGAGGCCACCATTCCCCCGGTCTCCCTTGCATGTGTAAGTGAAACTAGGATTTCATTTCACAAACCATTACATTTAATTGCCTCTTCCATCACTCGACATTTTCAATTTAAGAAATATGCTTGTGACTTTGATATACCTACATGATTGTCAAATTCGATAAATATTATGTAGTTTCATTGGTCGACTGCTTACTCGAAAATGAAAATAAAATATTTGGAATACACGCATCATAATACTCGTCATCATATAGACGGCCCATTTGAGAAAAAATCTACAAAAAGTACAGACAAGTACCGACCACCTGGCAATGTCGCCACAGACGAGAATCCGGTTAAACTTTGAAATTTTCATATTTAGCATGATTTTGTCTACAATTTTGGTGATTTTTAGGATCAAATCCTCTTAGCTTTCTACCCCCATTCTTCAAAAAGTTTGATGGCTAACAGTACGGGCACACGTACACGCAGTCCCACTGTCATTGAATCAGGACAATCAATGACCGAGCTAAACCGTTACTTTACTCCGGCCAATCCGAACAGGGGTCGGTCCGATATTGAGCAGAGGAGATATAGCCCTCTCCACTTAGAGATGATCTTAGCAGCGACTTGCAAGTCGCCTGGATACCGGTGACAGCGACCTTAAAGTCGCCGGTAGATTTAGCAGCGCTTTAGGTCACTGCTTATCTATGGTCGCTGCCAGCAGCCAGCGATTCCCTGGCGCTGATTAAATTACTCGATATTTGGCGGCGATTATCCATTAATATTAACGAGGTGTAGATGTTCAGGTTCCTGAAGATTTGAATTAAACTATATTTAAGGTTTTTGTTTTTAACAATATTGAGCACAAAACACATAAAATCATAAAAATACATCAAATATCTTTCTATGAATCTTAAAAAGTAAAACAAAATACATACTAATTTACCAGTCAAAATAAAACTTTTAAAACATAACAAATGTAGTATAAAAATGCTTCTTTTATATGTTGAACATTGCTTAATAAAAGAAACATTTTTCTATGAAACAGGAACTCACAACAATAACAATAAAAACTAACAAAATAGGTTAGGCTACGCTGTAGCGACCCTGTACTTCCCGCGCGATGATCGCGAACGCGATGAGTATATGCTTCCTGGCAGCGACCGCGACCGAAACAGCGTTACAGCTACCGATCAGTGGTTAGGTGGTTACCGATACCGATACTTCCAAACAGCGATCTGGGTCGCTGCTTCATGGAGAATCAGGTCGCCGGGACTAACGGCGACCATTCAAGTCACCGGGAAAGGTCGCCGGTACCGATAATCTCTACTCCACATCATTCGATTGAAGCGCAGCGGCGGCGCGCCCATGTGTCGTGATACTGCCCAAGACTGAAAAGTCGCAGCAAGTGTTTAACGAACACGAACTGCTAGGACTGGCCCTTCGAGTTGAGGTTCAGAAGAACTCCAGACTTATTGGCAGTGTCGCCGCTGCCAACACTACGGGCATGCGTATTGCACTGCACCGCCCAAATGCTTAAAATGTGCACCACATGACGCATTTGTGTCCCCTCACAGAAGAGGAAGAGCGCAAGTGCGTAAACTGTGGAGAGGGACATTCCGCAAATAGCCGGATTTGCAAGTTCACTCCAAGGAGGAACTTGCAAGTTATAGCGTAAAGGCGCAATTTGTCATACGCGGACGCAGCTAAGGAGGCAACCTTGCATGCACCCTCTGCCCAACCTCTCTTGAGCATGCAAAATGTGGACCTGGCAACCGCGCTAAGATCCCTACAACAAATAATAGGCCCACTGATTAGCGCTACCCAAGCGTTGCAGGCGATATTTTCTCTAAATGCCTACGTACCATTGACGTCTTACCCAAATAGACCTGGAATGTTTACAAAAGTTCTTCCTCCACAACAAACCCTCATTTTTGCGATGTTGCCAAATAAGTTGACCCCACGGTCCTTTTGACATTCCTCGTGCTATACGCTTGATCTTTTTGTGTTTTTCAGACTTTCATTAAATTATGGTGAGACAAAAGTGTTTTTTGTGCAAGGTTGATGCTGGGAATGCCTGAAGGGATATCTTTTCACAGGTAAGGTTATGTTTACGATTCTACTCATTGGCGTGGAGTGCGTCATTTTGCGGATCCTCTCCGTATTTTATATTTTTTACATGTAAAAATCTTAAATCAAATGAAAAAATGCTGTTTTTTATAATTGCCCATAAATCACCCAAGAGCTTGTATAAATATATCGTTTATCACAAATGTTCGTACAATGCATCTTACTTGAATTTATAATTCTCATTCCAGACTACTCGCAAATGAAAAGCAGAGAGAGAAATGGATATCTTTCTTGGAACTTACCGAGCTAGAACCTCAATCCCACTAAGTGGTTATAATATGCTCAAAGCATTTTTTCCACAAGATTTCATTACTGATGCTAGTGGAAGAACTTGGCTAAAACCTGGTGCTGTTCCAAAACCCATTTGGCCAGTTGTTTCCTCTCAGTGGTAAGAATTTTATTCACTCACAAAATGTTTTTTAGATTATTTTGCCCAATGCCACCTTACGCTATGTAGATGGACCCATAGGAAGTTCAGAACCTGAGTCCAATGTGGCTTGAGCCCCCAGGTCAAAGCAAGATCAGGGAAAAAGAATTATTCAGACATTTCTGAATTTTGGTTGATTTTTGAGCATTTGGGTACTCTAACCAAGCTGAGGTTCTGGGCCTGGGCCTATAGATAGCAGATAAACTTTATTTGTTGCATGTAATCACAGTGGTGATGTGAAACTTGTCAAAATTAATACAAATACACAATAAAATACAAATATACATTACAAACAAGCTTAAAATACCTAAAGTAAATATCACAAATATGAGATGACATTAAAATCATTGTCCTCCAAAAATTCTTGGACCTGATAATAGGCTTTGTCACAGAGGATAGTATGCAACATTTTTTTGTAAGAGTTGAGAGGTATCATATTCCAAATTTTGGTGTTCAAGAATTCAACATTCCTCTGGAGTAATAATGGTGAATGTGTTTGATACAAGGTTAGATCTATTTCTAGTACTGTAGTGGTGAAAGTATGGATTCTGGAAAAGATCTTGAGTTTTTTTTATGAATACTATTGATTTTAAGATATAGATACCAGCCACAGTCAAAATGCCCCTTTCTCTGAATACTTGTTTGCAGCTGTCATTGAAACACATTCCAAAGATGTTCCTAATGCATTTCTTTTGAAGGATAAGAGCTCTCTTTACAGTTGTTGAATTGCCCCGAAAAATAATTCCATATGACAGCCTGGAATGCACATATCCAAAATATGCTGTTAAGGCAGCCCTCTTGCCAAGACAATATTCCTATCACATAACTGAATTTGGCAACAGATTCACATACATCTTCAGTATGGTCTTTCCAATTGAGGCAGCAATCTATACTAACACATAAAAGTGAGGCAGTGTTTACAGCTTCAATAGTGTTTCCATTAAAATAGATGGAAAAGTTATTGCTTTCTAAGTTTCTACTGAATTGCACTAGTTCTGTTTTCTTTAAAGTCAACAGTAGTTTATTGGATGAGAACCAGTTCTGAAGTTCTTCTAAGTGGTCAATTGCAACAATTTTAGTTTGTGCCTCTGAGTATTCACTGATAACAAAAGATGTATCATCGGCATACATGTTTAAACCCTGCATTAATTGCATTATGTCATTGGCATATAGAATGTATAAGAGAGGACCTAAGGAGACAGTTATATTGTCATATTGTCTGTTATGAATATAAAGCTTGTTATACAAGCAGATAAGAATGGTTACTTAATTGGTGACTATATAATACATTATTGCTTTAGTACATCATCGTCAAGTGTTGATATTTCCCCAAAAGAAGTTTCTGTGATGCCAAAATGTATTGCAAGCTCCCTAGATGTGACTGGCAGCTCCATAAGAAGCTCTTTATCCAGAATTAATACTGATGAAATTTATGTTTCGTGAAAGATCCATGTACTGTAGGTTAATTTAATTTCAATTTGGAAATGTATTATATATTTTATCTAAGAGTATTTTAGAAATTTTAGTACAACATTAAAACACTCAGTTGTCTGATTATAATTGCTTCTACTGGGCTAGGAGTATCAATGCAAAAATGTACTGTAAATATTTTATATTTGAATCATAAAATATTTTTAGGATCAAGCACATGCAACATTCATAGAAACATTAGTCTCAATACTGGGTATAGAAGTGGTACCTTTGAGGTTGATTGGAAATATTGACCACTCTTTGAGGTTGATTGGAAATTTTGACCACTAGAAGAGACAAAACGAAAATTACATTTTTAAATGTATCTGATAAAATCTAGTGTTTTAGTAATCCTATCCAGCTCTAGTGTTAAGGGTCATTTTAAAAGTTTTCATACTTTGTCCTTATTCAGTTCCATCAGTGATGCAGAAATTTACAGTACCTTGTATCTAGGCAATGGGACATTTTTATACAAGTCGTCATAGGATTTTTTGTCACTTTTAAACCTATTTTCTGTCCTCCAAAAAATATTGATATTGCTTTTGATTCACCCTGTTTATCATCCACTTAAGATTGCTATTTTCAATATCTGTTTGAATTTTAATGTTTTGATATATGACTGGTATCTTCAACTGTTTATCAGGAAATTTGATATTGTAGGATACAGCTGAAACATAAAACGTTTGTTCAACCTGGACCTTCTAAGCCATTGTAAGTCAAGCAAGATGTCACATATTTAAGATTATGCATAAAATATATTTTATATCTTTTAGTTTCAATGTGAAAGATTCACCATCATCAAGTTCTTCTAAAACTTGGAGTGCCTCACCTGCAACTGTGACAGCCTCAGAAAAGGGTTATGAATCAGATGTGTTTACTGAATCTGTTCAGCAAAAAAGAAAAGAAAGTGGTACAAAACCATACTATCAGCAATAAATTCTTGAGTCAATGTCTATAGACAATATTCATATACAGAGCAGCCCAGCTATGTCTGTAGTCTGAAGTTTCACTGTATATGAGAGAGAGGGAAGAAGGAGAACCGTACAACACATTATGTTAGAAAGAATGCATGGCAAGCTACAACAAGGCTCTGCAACCATTGTTTCTGTCACTGCTAGGTAACATGGTGATTGGTGCACTATTTCTTAGATGTTTTTATTATATGCGTCTCTCGTTTCCCAGTCTCTCATACACTCTAAAACATCAGACCTCAAACGTTGCTGTGCCGCCCTGATTATACAGTGCTTTTCAAAGAGACCTCCCGTATTTTCAAGCAAGTTGAAATTTGGGACATATTTTAGCGTAGAAATGGCAGAATGTTCCACTGCACATTTAGACAGATCTATAAACAAGAAGAAGATTGATTCCATTAGCCCAAATTGTTATGTGTTAATTTGGACCATTCAAAAAATACGTAGGAGAGGGGGCTTTTGGAAATCACTGTATAAATACATAAACACACTGAATACCGATACCTCGTTGTCAACTGTAAAATGAATCATTCACAACATTCATATTGATGGTCTTGTTATTGTAGGAAGAGGTATGTGGGAGACTTGACCAGTAGCGACTTTTCAACACCTGAGAAGAGGAAACGGAATTTTCGTCTCATGAAAGACACTATTTTGAGACAGAGGAAGTTACTGCAAAACAAACAACGTTTGATCCGATATTTCAAAAATAGAACCCAAACACAGCAATTCCTTGATATGCTAAATCAAAGGTTTAATATGAATGCTTCAACTGAAAGTGAACTCAAGGTAAGGGAAAACAAACAAAAACCACAATAGGACAGTTAAGTAACAACAAAAGAACCTGAAACTTCCTGAAAGAGGAAAAATACAAATAAATTGACCTAGCCTAGAACCAGTCACGAAACAATATGACAGTTCACCATATAGAAACAATGGGTGATATCCAATTTATTTATATTTTCCCGTGTATTTAAGGTTTTTCTTTCTCACTTAACTGTTTATGGTGCTTAAAACACTGGAATAATTCGAGTCACCTCAATTTTTAAGTTATTTAATTTAATGTCAGAAGTGGACATCACCTATACCTGAAATCATGAACCATTTCAATGTCAAGACAATGGCAAAATGTGACAGGTACCATATAGAAACAATGCAAACATGTCATTCTTGAAAGTTGTTCTATATTGAAGTATTGTGATTACAAGTGTACTTTATTCCCAAGCTGCTCATACATACCAACATTAAAGATATTAAAATTTGCTTTTGTTGTTGTTTCAGGCGTGTCTGTCGGGATCAGCCTCTCAAATATTTGAAAGGATGTTAAAAGATCCATCAACACAAAAATATGATCCTGTGTTAAGAAGCTTTGCAGTGACCCTTGCGTTTTACTCACCTAAGGTGTATACTTTTGTTAGAAGGACATTTAATAAATCTTTATCTGATTTAAGTACAATCAGTAAGTGGTATAAATCAGTTAATAGTTCCCCTGGGTTCACACAGGAAGCCTTGGAAACTCTAAAGATTCTAAAGTGACAAGCAGATGCAAAGGGTTCACATGTTCTGTGCAATTTGGTTTTATATGAAATGTCTATATGACAACAAATTGAGTGGACAGGAACCAAATTCACTGGGTATGTTGATATTGGGGCAAATATTAATTCAGATATGCTACCTGAAGCAAAGGATGTACTTGTATTTATGTTGGTATGTCTTAATGGATCCTGGAAAATTCCTGTGGGCTACTTTTTTTGGCTGGATTAGCTGCTGCGGAAAAGACAGAGTTACTAAAAAATTGTTTGATCTTTTTATACCAGTCGGGTGTTTTGATCACATCAGTAACATTTCATGGTGCTCCTGCTAATATAAGTATGGCATCTTGTTTAGGAGCAAATTTGGAGAGTGAACATTTAATTACTCATTTCAAGCATCCCATCAGTGGAGAAAACATATTCATTTTTTTGGATGCATGCCATATGATCAAACTGATCAGAAACACTTTTGGATTACAGCAGTTTTTGACAGATGGCGACGGTAGACCAATTGCGTGGAGTTATTTGGTGAAATTGGTCGATATACAATCATTCCAAGGGCTTCATTTGGCAAATAAAATGAGGATTCGGCATTTGCAGTGGACAAGGGAAAAATGAAAGTTAATATAGCGACCCAGACACTGAGTAGAAGTGTATCTGATGCTCTTCTATTTCTTGGAGAAGACATGAAAGCTCCGTTTTTCAGAGATGTTAAAGCAACGGCTGTGTTTATCAGATTATTTAACGATTTATTCGATATATTTAATTCTCGGAATGGGTTAGAAAAATATCTCTTCAAAAGACCCTTATCACCTGCAACTACCGAATCGTTTTTTAAATTTCTAGATGAAGTGACCAATTACATCCAGGACCTTAAACTTAAATATCTCGATATTGCAGTCACGTCGAAAAACAGGGTTTCTAGGATTCCTTGTGTCAATTAATAGTTTGAAACGTTTGTATGTCGCTTATGTGATCGTGACACCATTACTCAAATTCATTTTAAACAACAAACTATCACAGGATCACCTTGAAATTTTCTTCAGCGCTATTCGGAGCAAAGGGGGATTTAATAATAACCGTACTGCAAGGCAGTTCGAGGTAGCCTGCAAACGCCTCTTAGTCCATGCTGAAATTGTTGGTCCAGCTGGTGGTAACGTCACACACCCGGAAGCATTAAGCATATTAACAAATGGCAGTGGAAGGCAGCTCACATATAATGAGGATGGTGAAAATATGGTAGAAGCTAGGGAATATCCTGTTACGGAACAGCTTGTTAGGGAGAATATTTTGAGCCATGGATATTTAGCATCTTTTGCCTGGAATATAACTCTTTATAATCAAGATATTGTAGCCTATATGGCAGGTTTTGTCGTGAAATCACTAAAAACCTGCAGTACATGTTCATATTGCAAAAATCTATTAGAAAGTGAAACAAGTACATAGAAACTTCAGGAAAGAAAACAGTACGGAAATTTAGTTAAAGCATCTGATATGATTATAGGTTTAGGTAAAGAAGGTGAAAAATACTTTAGATTTTTTTGACAAAACGACAGGAATACATAATAAAACAATAAGAAATCTGATAACACTTTTAGTTAATGCTACATATAGAGTGATACCCTCCAAGGTATTTGATTATTTTGGAGATCATCTTTTTGATTAGATGGCCATGCAATCACCTTGGTGAAAATAATACTAAAAAAATATTTTCAGGTTAGGCTTCATTACGAAGCATCCAAAGAAAGTGAAACCAAGGATAGAGTAAGGAGCATTTACACTAAAACTGTATTATTCAAACATCAATAGTTGCATCAAATTAATTTTAAAATGACAATGATTTTTTTGAAATAAATGATTTTACGGTAATTGTCCATAGACTGTGTTTCTGTTTTCTGATCTTTGCAAGACCGCCATAGATTGATTCCTTTTTCCTAATGAATTACCATTGGAGCATTAACTAATTCATCTGACTTATATCTTGTTAAACAAATACGAATAATTGGGAACTTTTTACAATGTTTCATAGATATTCATATTTTACATGTAGGGAACATGCTATTGCTTCCTGTTTTTTGTCATTTTAAATTGTACTACTACTCACAAGTTGTTTTCTGTGGTTTTGTATATTTATATGGATGTATGTTTGTTCCTCAATCACGCCAGAATGGATGAACTTGACACAGAGATAGATTATAGCCTGGAATAGCACATAGGCTACATTTTATCCCGGGAAAGAACTTCGAAATATCTATTTCAAGAGTTACAGCCAAAACTGCTCAAATCTCAGTTGACCATGACGCGGCGAAATGTCAACCTGACACCCTCAGCTTTTCGTTCGATTTCCGCCACGGCCAACTGGGATTATTTCATGGTAAATCCTTATATGGAGCAGATGGAACGTATCCTACTGATCATAATAGTGTAAATGCGAACAAACGGATGTGTCTTTGTTACTCAGTTACGCCAAAATGGCTGAACGGATATGGATGAAATTTGGTTCAGAGATAGATTACAGTCTGGAATAGCACGTAAGTTACTTTTGACCTTGGGGAGCGGGGGTAGGGTAAGGGATTTTGCTTTATTTATATCATTGGTAAGGTCAGGACAATTTCCGGGAACCACACTGAAGAGCGTGGAGAGGGGTGGAGAGTACAGAACTTTGGTTTATGTGCATGAATGTCAATTCGTAGGAACAATTCCCCGGATTAAATGTTGAAGAGCGCAGGGTGAGGGGCAGGGAAGCTTGAGAAGGTGGGACCATTTTGCGTCCCCAGCTGTTTCCCGCGGACACTGGGACGGGAAAAGTCAGCTGTCCCACTTAATTCGGACGTATAGTAACGTTAGATAGGCCACCTAGGCTGTGAGATACTTCATGAATTATTTAATGTGACTATACATTTGAAATTAATTTATTATTGAATTGATATGTTGAATGAAAAGGTCCAGCGCCAATGTAACTATTGCATTATTATACTTTACACTACTTCCATGCGAGCGAAGCCGCGAGTTTTGGCTAGTTTATACAGGGTGTCCGCAAAGTTGGGGTTTTCCTTTACACGACGTGTAGATCTTGAAAACATAACCAATTTTTCTTAGTACCATATAGACCAATGTCTTAAGGGAACCGAGATAAAGGGCTCTGCAACATCAAAAATATCTGAATACCGTCCTGTAGCCGCGACTCGCGACGTCCCCAACTGGTACTAGGACACTAGCTCAACCCGACGACAGAACTGGGTCGGGGGACGGGGTCAGTGTGTCAGGTCAGTATGCAACCTTCAACCGACGTTACGGTCATGCGTGTAGAGGTAAACGAACCCGTGTAATCGATTGCGTTTCAAAAAACAACAAGCACTAGAGACGTGGCTAGAGAAGAGCAAGTATCAAAAACTAAAGTGTGGCAAACGCTGCGTGAAGAGGGGATGTATCCGTTTCACGTCCAACGTGTACAAGCCCTTCAACCTGACGATTTTCCAGCAAGAGTGCGGTTTTGTGAGTGGTTGTTGCATCAACATGACAATAATCTGGACTTTTTGAAGTGCATATTGGTGACAGACGAATCTACGTTCACGCGTAATGGGGTGAATAACTTTCGCAACACTCATGTTTGGTCAGTAGAAAATCCGCACGCTGTCCGTCGGGCACATTTTCAACAAACATTTTCGGTGAAGGTTTGGGCTGGCATGGTGAACGGTATGCTCATTGGACCATTTATTCTCCCAAATCGATTGGACGGGATGCAATACCTAGTCTTTTTACGCCACATTTTGCCTTCCTTGTTAGAAGATGTGCCATTAAGTGTAAGACAATCAATGTGGTTTCTGCACGATGGTCATATTTGTTATCTCTGTTCGTGGTCTACTGGTCTGCACCACCGCCGGCGTCTGCTCGGTAGCGCATCAGCTGATTTCATTTTCTGTTGGAGCGGTATGATTTCGGGCAGAGACGTACTTAGCCCTTCTCGTCAACTGGAGGGTGGGTACTTTTTTCTTTATTTTTTTTACTTGGTCGCCCTCGTTTCACTACACATTACCTTTGTTATTTCAAGGGTAGTTGTTTCTGAAAAGGAAAACCCCAACTTTGCGGACACCCTGTATATAATTGCTATGTTATCAGCTTAAACATTTTCAAATCCCTGCAATTTTCATTGCCAACTCCTTATTGTTAACATATCTTGTGCTGGTGTGATATCCCATATTTACAATTGATAGGTATATTTTTTGTTAGCACATTTCCTATTAAGAATGTCAAGAAAATTTCATTTTGCATTGATTGATCTCCATATAAAATATTTTGTTAACCACCAAATAAACATTTTTTTAAGTAGGTATTTACTGTGTTTTATTACTTCTATATTGGGATCTTGTACCTACCACAAAAGTCACACATTTTGCTATTTTGGTTTACAATCATAAAATGAAAGCACAACCTGTAAATACACTTCTTTTTTTGCATTGATGGCCGATGATTAGAAGTTTGAAGAGGGGGGTTGCTAACAATGTCGTTCTAAAATTGTACGTATTCCGTATGATTTGGAAAAAGTAGGATATTTTTCGCCCCTATGCTTTTTGTTGGAGACAACATGACCGAAAAGAGGGACATTTTTATGTCGCCAGTCTTTTGACAGAAACAGTAGTACAGAGGCCGAAAGTGGGACGTATGGTGACCTAAATAATAGTATACCTACAAGAAAGACGTTTTTTGTACCTCCAATGTACTGAGAAATTTATTGGCTTTTATAGCCCTTCATGGCCTACATTGTGATACGCCTATGGTGTGAATTCCGTAGTTGACCTTGAGCCTTGTGCTGTTCCAAGCCTGGGGTCAATTTGATAAAATTATGAATGAAAGTTGGTATTTCCCGCCACTGAGGTCCGCGAACATAAACGGCGGACTTATGAATGACTTGCAGGGTCTATATAGGTAAGACGTCAATGCTAGGTACAATAGTAGACAGCCTGCATTCATCAAAAATTTTTCTTTGGAATGTTTGTGCATGAGGGATATTCCCAAAAAACGGGAATTTCTTCAAGCTCTTTTGGATAAACGTATAGATGTGGCCTTGGTGCAGGAAACGTTGCTTAGTCCGGGATATTGTTTAGCTCTCCCGAATTACGATGGTATCCGAGGTGACAGATTGAACGGTTGAGATGGCGGTTTAGCAGTGTTGATTAAGCACGGTATAGACTATTATAGAAGCACTAATGTGGAGATGCATAGCATCGAAGCAGCTTCTGTGGTGGTCAATATGGCGGGAGGTGGCACACCTTTTTTGCCTGCGGACAAAAAAGCTGCTATTAAAGAGGCAAAAAGGTCTTATCATCCTGCTGAAATTCGTAGGGCTACAAATCTTGTCCATGAAGTGAGAAACGCACTGCACGAACTCCGCAACGAGTAATGGAGCGACTTTCTGGCGGGAATGCTTGATTCAAGTATTTCTCTCTGGAGGGTCGCAAAGTCACTCAGAAACGGAAAGCGTGACCATTCCCGCACATCCACGGTGCTGAAGGTATAGTCTTCAGAACGGAAGATAAGGGCGAGGTTTTCGCTGTTGCCTCTCCCAACTATGATCTTGATAATTGACCTCGACGAGGAACAGCACATCGTACGATCCGTCAGGAGATATTTTAGGACCAACGGCGTTAGCGGAGGATCAAATCACCAACAAGACGTTGAAGTTGCTCTCGCCGAAAGCACTGGCATATTGGGTGTCAATAATCAATGCGACGCTCAGGATCCAGTACTTCCCTGCTGGGTGGAAGACTGCTGAGGTCATCATGATTCTAAAGAAGGTCGGTTTGATATTTTCTCAGGATTACCGACCCATAAGTCTGCTGTCAGCTCATTCTAAGCTCGCCGAAAAGGTGATTTATCGTTGCCTTGACAATTTTTAGTCAAATCACCGTGTGATTCCTGACGTTCAATACGGTTTTCGGTCCGAGCATAGCACCGAGCTACAGGCAGTCAGGCTGGTGGAACATGTAACCATAGGGTTTACCCTCAGCATTAGTACTGGCATCTTGCTTTTGGATGTCTCAAAGCCTTTGACAAGGTGTGGCACGCAGGAATTCTTTAACTAATACAAAAGGGTTTTCCTTTCTGGCTTCTAAAATTACTGAAACCCTTTCTTGAAGGAAAGGAAGTTTCGGATCAAAATTAACAATGTTTTGTCAACAACACGGTAGGTACGGGCCAGTGTTCCTCAGGGTTCGGTCCTAGGACCAATCCTTTATTCGCTTTTCATCCATGATGTCCCTTGCCCCAGCAACTTTGAAGTCTACCTCTATGCTGACGACAGTGCACTTGTCACCCAGTCGTGAACAGGTGAACTGGTTCACGCTGGGTTGCAGAGTATTGTGGAAGAAGTACTAGAGTGGGCGGAACGGTGGCTGATTAAAATTAATCATTCGAAAACGCAGGCTATTTATTGTACCAAAAAATGTCGCGGCCCCCAGCAGAGGTATCTGTAGACGGCAAGCGTGTACCATGGACAAATTCTGCCAAGTACCTCGGTGTCACCCTTGATAAAGACATGAGCTGGCAGAAACATACAGCAGCCTCGAAAACAAAATTCCTAATTTCGTTTCGGCAACTATATCCTTTGTTATGTAGATCCTCCAAATTGAGTTTGATTAACAAAGTTCGCCTATATAAAATGATTATTAATCCAGCCATTACTTATGCATGTGCGGTTTGGTGTCTTGCCAAGACACACATGCAAAGTCTCCAAGTACTGCAAAACAGAACTTTGCGAACAATTTGCAACGCTCCATGGTATGTCTCAAACGAGACACTACACAAAGAGCTTGACATTCCTTACTTAAGGGATTAGGTCAAACTTCAAGCGCAGCGACATTATAGTCAAGCGGAATCGCACAGCAACCCTCTGTTGTGGACTACACAGTGGAGCAAGTTCGTAAACATGCAAGGCCATGGCTCGCACTGTAATAAAAAATTAGCCAGAACTTTTAGTACACTTAAAATTACATTCTAACAAAATCGAATCAAAAATTTGTTTAGTTCACCTCAAAATTAATCCGTGTACCAAGTCAAAAAGCCTAGATGTCTCCTCTTAAACTAAACACTTCTGTTTTTCTTTGCTCTTCTCCATTTTTCTTCTGTTTCCTTTTTCCTTGACATTGTCTGGTCTCTTGGAAACCCATACTGACAGATTCGACTAACGTACGTTTTTTAATATGCCATATATAATGTTTCCATTATCAAGCTTCACGGTGTCTTCAGAATACGGGAGGATAAACCTTTCAAACCTAAACATCTCCAAAACGAGTAATCTAACAAAAATTCCTAAAGAGACAATATTTATGGAAATATGAATATATTTTTAAAGGCAAAACATAACGGTCGCCGCTTCTGGCAGCGAATCGACACCTACGCACAGCTACTGTGGAACGTGGAAGGCGACACACAGCATAAACTCATTGTAACTTAAAGGAAATAAAGCAATATTCTACAAGTGGCGTAGCAAATATTTTCTATTAGTGTTCTAGGTACCTCAGTTTCTACATCCTTGGTTCAGTTTGGGTCGGAAAACTGTGTTTATTGCTAATGATATGCTCACTGGCCGTCTAAAATATTAAATCAGTATCTTTACCCGCTACGTAAATATATTTTTTCAATTTTAAATATATTTCGAGAATAAAACTTCCTCACCCTGTATCTCGGAAGGGGAGCATCTTTGAACCCATGTTTACAAGACTTTTTTTTAATTCATGGATGCACTTTCTGTCCTAGAAATATTGACACGTCTTTCTGAAACACCCTGTATATTCGGATACATCATTCCGTTGCAATTAAACGTACATAAAACTTCGACAGACTGCCAGCTCGCCATTTTCGAAGATAGTGATTTTATATACAATATGAGCCCAGCCGCTATCTTCAAATTTTCAACTACCATTTCAACCCTAAAATATAGCATTCCTGAATCTATTTTATTAGCACCTGCAAATCGGTCTCGTCGTGACCTACTGTAAGTAAAAATTTTGTTTTATTATAAGCCTTGCAACTGGAATACTCCGTTTTGACAGAAGCGAGATTATAGTTTAATCTGTCGATAAGAAATCAAACGCAATAACCCCCCCCCCCCCCCCCTTCATCGATCGCAGGTACTCTGACCGTTCTTCAGTTGGACAGGAATATACGTTCTCAAACATTAATTATTGAAGCCGCTGCCCGCTTTTCAATTTTCATATCTTCATTTCATGTTCCTCTTTCAATCTGCTACAAATCCGTCAGTAAATGTAACAACCAAAACTAACCTTGTGGTTGCCTCGTTGATCTATCTTCATATTTTTCTGGCCATTTAATGAAACCACAGATGTAGAAGTGAAAGTTTACTAACGTTTCAGCTTCCTCGGTTGCCTTTTTCTAAGAAAAATGTGCTGACATTATTAATTGAATCAGTCACTTCAAAAACCACTTATCACATTTTTCTTCAAGCTTTTTTTGCAGAAGGATTAAACCATGTCAAATGTTACATATATTCATAACTTGATGTTATAGTATAATTTCAAATAATAAGAAAAAATGTGATTGTTTCATTAAAATTATTTACCGCTAACGCTATTTTTCGCTACAATGATTTTAGGCAAGAACGGTTTTTTAGGTTTTGTTCATTGTCAATAAACTGTGAAGGTTATTTGACTTCCCAGTCATTTGAAACTCAAATATATTAAGCTTAAGTCAGTTCATTTGTGATCCATGTTTGAATAATTCAAGAGTTGTAACTTGACACGTTTTTGAAATGATTGATTCACTTAATGTCATCATGTGAAGGTGTAGCTAGTGGTACTTAGACTTACTCTTTCTAATAAAACAAAAACGTAAAAATACGCATTAATTAAAACTTGGTATTAATACAAATGAAAGGAACATTATGTAACACTTAAAAAACATGTAAGTTCTTAAATGTGTCACAGTCACATTAACTAGTATTTGAGTCTTCAATCAGTCAAGCAATAATTATCATTTTAACTAAAATAAATTCCTGAGTAGGAATTCAAACTAAAACATATTCCTGCATATAAATACAAACATAGAACTAAAATCCTGAGATTCGTGGCAAAACTTAAAAACAATTAATAAATTTTGTGTTAATACTTTTAGAACGATGGAACAAATGCAACTTAAAGTAAATAACGTGATACGATTCTTACAGAACACGTATCATTAAAATAAACAACGTAAACTCATAAATACTTAAACTAATGAGGTCAATAGATGTTGGTTATTATTTCTTAACTGGGGCAGATTGCTCTGTCTCAGGGTCAGATTCCGCCTTCTTCTAATCTGCAATATATGACGAGCTACCGGTAGTTTCAAAACCTTCTTGAGATGACGCTGGTGAGCAGTGGGTTTCTCGCGCTTCCTGTGTAACGCATGAATGTATCGCATGCAGTGTGGTTTCACCTGCAATGTAAAATAGCGTTGACTATGCACTTCCCGAGTGAGACACTCTGAGAAAAAAGTTAGCTACGAACACGTAAAATATAGAGCTTAAACGGATCAAGTCAGTCAAACAGATCCATACAATTAGTCCTTTGACATCTTTTCCCTGCTCTACCGATAGTACCTTCCACATGGCAATATCGCCCCTTCCCCATACCCCACCGTTCGATTAATCAACTTGTCAGACTTGGCAGCGTGGTAGTGGCGGAAAGATACTCATGAGCGAGACTGTGCCACCGATCAATCCAGAGAGCACGAGTGTCGGAAATATTTCTCTCTCATTCTGTAAATTGATGGCGAATGCTTGGTAAACTATCTATTAATACCATATCTCACAAATCAGTTGACCTAAACAAATGCCATACCCAGTGCGACATGTATGTACATAAAAATACATATCTCCATTAAAGTGCCTCATATTTTAAAAATTCTACACACACCAGGCTATATTTTGGACTAAAAAATCGATAATAAAAAAGACGGAAATTACCTAAATTTTTATTTACAATGTGATGATTTTGTCATCAAAAAGTGCAGAAAGTTTACTATATAAAACGTCCTGCCCTGTTTAAAATCCAAAAGTGAAATTGAAAACAATTTTCGAAAAAATCTGAATTTCAAGTAAAGCTATTCTTTTGCTTATGTCTAACTGTATCTGTACAATAAATTTAATTCGAATAAAACCATTTGGACTAGCTGTCCTATTTTCATCAGTGTATATTTTATTACATGAGCCCACTAAGATCACTTGTTTTACAGTCAATCAACATTTCTATCAAATAGTAATCTTCAAAGAAATCTGGATTGTATCATCCTTATAGAGCCTTAATTGCTTTTGCAAAAAAAAATCTCAATCAAATCTTATAGGAGTCAGATATCACCGCGTCAAAAGATCGAATCGAGATTTCAAATACAGGATATTGAAGCCGAATCAACAGTTTATCTGGTCCATATGATGGCCTAATACTCGTAAAAAAAATTCAAGCCCGCAGACTGAAAAGAAGGCAAAAATCTTGGCAGTATTTGTTGAAATTGCAAGAGAACCGTAGATATAGGGTGACAAAGTTCAAAACAGAAAAACTGTCACGGAAAGTAAAAAATATGGTCATAACTATGAAGTAAGAATATTTTTTAGTTTTTCCGTGAAAACGAAGTAGGATACAAAGGGCTCCCAGAGTAAAAAAACTTGTATCACGAGCTGCTTAATCAAAAAAAATTGTAATTTAAAAAGTGGCGTACATTTTTTGTCGATTTTATTCGTGAAACTGCCCTCCGAGACGCCACTGTAATCCATAATTATCTTCGAGCTAGTGTCACAGTGCAGTGAATTATACTGTCGGAACTCTATAAAATTTGACATATTGATAAAAAACACTTTTTTAAACCCTGTAATTTGGAAACCAGACTTCCGAGAACATGTTTATATGGATTTTGCTACATACGTATACATTTAGTTGAGGAATGCGCCACTGTACTTACGGCCCATCATTTAGGGCTATATCGTCAGCCGTTCCTACAATAAATTGTATTGTATTGTATATTATATGACGCCTTTATAGCCTCCTTGATTTTAAAAGTCCTTTTTCTCCTTCAGAAGTTTCTACTGCTCCATGTCAGCGTCAGCGCTCTCTTATTATCAAGTTATATTTTCTTTTGAAATTTCAGGCTGATAAAACAGATGATTAAATTCAACTTCTATCATCCTAAAAAAATATATAACAAAATAGAGCACTGACAGCAGCAATCTAGAAATGCATCCTCCTTTCTGAAGGATAGGAAAAACTATGAAAATCAAAGAGTTCATAAAGGCAATTTTAGGAACGACTGATGATAGTGCCTTGAGTATGACCCTTATAATTTTTGGTAGTTCAAAAAGTGATTCTCTATTCTAACTCCTAAGCCGTACATGCAAACTAGTTATTTCCAAATTAAGAAGCACATGTGGAACTGAGATTTCTTCTACAAAACAAAACGGTATATAGCTCTGGATGCCCAATTTTCTTATTTATATCTTAAAAAATAAATGAGTTATGATAAAACTACGCATGCTTGTTTGTGAGGAAACAGATAGTATCGATTAATAATTTTTAAACTGTCATCACGAAAGTTCACCATGAATTTTGCCAACAGTACTGTTTCACGTGTTGCAAAACAAATAATACCATTCCTTATACATAGAAGGGGGCATTATTGGACGAGTACATAGAGCCAAAGGATATAATTACATGATCAAACAAACTTACTTGTAAATGATATTCGATCTTAATTATTTAAAGTCCTCGTCGAAGTATATATATATATATATTCAGGGTGTCCGCAAAGTTGGGGTTTTCCTTTTCAGAAACAACTACCCTTGAAATAACAAAGGTAATGTGTAGTGAAACGAGGGCGACCAAGTAAAAAAAAATAAAGGAAAAAGTACTCACTCTCCAGTTGACGAGAAGGGCTAAGTACGTCTCTGCCCAAAATCATACCGCTCCAACAGAAAATGAAATCAGCCGATGCGCTACCGAGCAGACGCCGGCGGTGGTGCAGACCAAACAAATAAGACGGCGTTGCCGCGTTTTCAGTTTTTAGGTAAACGTACTTTATAGGTATTGTTCGAAGTTATCGCCGTTTGATTCAAAAACACAGGTGCGTGCACGACGTAGCCAAGCATCGGTGCAGGCTTTGAGAATGGAGTCCCTCCCCCGAATGAAAGCATCAGCTTGGTCAATTCTGAGACGAAGTTCGTCAACCGTATGCACTTCAGTTTTGTACACTAAGCGTTTCATTTCTCCCCAAAGAAAAAAATCACATGGTGTTAAGTCTGGAGATCGCGGAGGCCACGCTACGGGTCCATTACGTCCGATCCACCTATTCGGAAATAATTCATCCAAAAACTCACGCACTTCGCGTCTAAAATGGGGCGGGGCACCATTGTGCAGAAACCACATTGATTGTCTTACACTTAATGGCACATCTTCAAACAAGGAAGGCAAAATGTTGCGTAAAAAGTCTAGGTATTGCATCCCGTCCAATCGATTTGGGAGAATAAACGGTCCAATGAGCATACCGTTCACCATGCCAGCCCAAACATTCACCGAAAATGTTTGTTGAAAATGTGCCCGACGGACAGCGTGCGGATTTTCTACTGACCAAACATGAGTGTTGCGAAAGTTATTCACCCCATTACGCGTGAACGTAGATTCGTGTGTCAACAATATGCACTTCAAAAAGTCCGGATTATTGTCATGTTGATGCAACAACCACTCACAAAACTGCACTCTTGCTGGAAAATCGTCAGGTAGAAGGGCTTGTACACGTTGGACGTGAAACGGATACAGCCCCTCTTCACGCAGCGTTTGCCACAATTTAGTTTTTGATACTTGCACTTCTCTAGCCACGTCTCTAGTGCTTGTTGAGGGATTCTCGTCTACGCGATTCAGTAGTTTTTCCTCAACTTGCACCATTATTCGTGGTTGTCTAGGCCTCCCACTGTGCCCACCTCGAAATTCCTCCAAATGGCCCGTATCCCTGACTCTCTGGACCAGGTACACAAATCTGCGGGGCCTTGGATGATGTCGTCTAGGGAAACGATCTGCATACACTCGCGACGCTTCTGTAGCATTTCGAAGACATTCGCCATAAATTAACAACATATCAACGAGTTCATTATTGATGTATGAGTGTGCCATTATTATTATTTTTTTTGAAACGCAATCGATTATACGGGTTCGTTACCTCTATACGCGTGACCGTAACCGTCGGTTGAAGGTTGCATACTGACCTGACACACTGACCCCGACCGAGTTCTGTCGTCGGGTTAAGCTAGTGTCCTAGTACCAGTCTGGGATATCGCGGCGGGTCGCGGCTACAGGACGGTATTCAGATATTTTTGATGTTGCAGAGCCCTTTATCTCGGTTCCCTTAAGACATTGGTGTATATGGTACTAAGAAAAATTGCTTATGTTTTCAAGATCTACACGTCGTGTAAAGGAAAACCCCAACTTTGCGGACACCCTGTATATATATAATCAAAATCCTATCTACCAGAAGGTGTGAGGAGTATAAAATAGTACAATATAAATCTACTTCCCGCTCAAACTTGTGTAGAATATAACATTGCAGCCTACTGCTTTTTGTTTTTTGTCAGCTTCACTGCATCTTTCCAGTTTAGTCCACATGTGCCAGTGCCACTATCACCTCATCGTTCCATTTCTTTCTCGGACGTCCTCGTATTCCTTGTCTTTAACTCTTGCTTCCCACACCCGTTTAGCTGGTCTACTTTCCTTCATGCGGTTCAGGCGTCCAACACAATCTTAATTGTTGTACTTCAACTCTTTGCAAGATTGGTTCTACTACCAGTTCTGCCCTTACTATATCATTTCTGATTTTGTCTCATCTAGTTATTCCTTTAACTTTCCTTAAAAATTTCATATCTACTGCCTGAATCTTGCTCTTTAATCTGTTTGTTAGCACCCAACCTTCGCTACCATAAATTAATGTTGGCCTAAATACGGTCTTGTAAACAATCATCTTGGATTTCCCTCTAATTTTCTTGTTTCCAAAGAAGTTTTTGCTCATTGTATGATATATATTTACTGCTTTATTAATCCTTTCATTTAGTTCAGCTTCCATCCTCGTCGAAGTAAATATTCAAAATACATACCGTAGTACCCTCATAGTAGTACCCAACCCCACGATTTCAAAGCGCGCACGCGGCGGAGGAAAGCGGCACCGCGCCCCTTCCCCATACCTTTCTACCCTCTGGCCGCCTATAAACCTTCATTTTCTTCATAAGGAGCGAGGGAGCTATTTACTTCGACGAGGACTTCACATAATTAAGATCGAACATCACTTACAGTACAGGTAAGTTTATTTGATCATGTAATTATGTTCCGTCCTGATCGAAATAAATATTTAGAATACATATCGTAGATGTTCAAAGCTAGTTGCAACAACATACTACTAACGCTCTG